AATATCGTTCCCATGGAACCTCATCTGACTTTCTATAATGACATGGCGCTGCCCGCTACCTCTGTTCAGAACGGGTAGCGGCTCCATTGCTGACTGGTAGATTCATCGCATCTTTGTCGATCATTGGCAGCCGTTGTAATATTGCTACCCTCCCCCAGCTGTCAGAAGGAGTGAAGTAGGTTCTGATCTTTGACTTTCCGCGATCTGCCTTTGTTCTCCAACAGCCTTCGCGGCTTTTTGTATCTCGGACGACGACCGATTTAGTATTGCATTCGATAACGGCAATACTATGAGGGGCAGAGGACTATGTATAACGGGAGACGTCGCTACGGTCGCAAGCCCTTCGCACTTGAAAAGTTTCCCATCCCGACTGGAATCTCCTTTAAATTATTTACAGCTGTATAGCAAACACGTTTTTAACGACTTATTGATGTAGGTAATAAATGACTTATTATTACATTACGCTTGTCGACTGCTCAAAATAACGTTTCTAAAAAACGACTTAGCAAAATCTTTTAAATTTATATTTTAGACCTTTTGTTTTTGACAAACAGCACAAAGCCTAAATACTTAACTGCAATGAAACTAATAAAACGCGACATTAAAAAAGCATACACTCAAACCCCAAAAGCGACAGCTATTATCAAGCCACGAGAGGTCAGGTTTTCATGTCTGAAATCCTTCGTACTCTGTTCCGGATTACTCGCCATGATGCAAGTTTCAGACGCTTTTTTGTTCAAATGAAGGATGAAAAGATCTTATTACGACTATTTTATTTATAACTGTCCATGAGGCTATTCGTTATCTTGCGGTAATAAATGAACAAGCCTAATTTTCATATTTTAAGGGCGTCCTTGTTTTTAGTCGAAAAACTTCGTTAAATGGTGAGCGGTAAACTATTTAATTCATTTTATGACAGTAATAAACAGATTAAATCATACTGCGATTGAATTTAACAGACATCTCAGCCAAGTCGGAAGACCCTTTTTTGTAAAAGCCTTGGATTTCGAAACGAAACCTGAAACTGTTTTCGCTAAGTTGGTCTGCTCGATGAATGCTCTAAAATGCTTAATGCATTAGTCAAACAGCGCCTGTGTTGGCTTATACAAGTCTGCCAAACAGCAACGGCTACGGAAAAGACAACAGAGGACTGGAGAACAGGAATGGCAGAACCCCTATTTTAGGAGGGAGGCAATAGGGAGTGCTCCAATTATCGGGACATCGCCTTACTGAGTCAAGTCTACGCAAAGACGCTACAAACGAGATGCCATGAAATAAGTGACTACAAAATACAAGAGCATAGTGGTGTCCGATTTGACTAGATATTCGCCCTACGCCAAGTTGTTGAGAAATCGTGGGAGTCCCCTCATCCGGTTTATGTGGATTTTGGATCTAGAGAAAGCTCATCACCAGATTCCGAGAAACAACCAGTGGACGAGTCTGCAAACATATGGTATCGATGGCCAGTTGCTATGGCCATTCAATCACTGTATGCTGATAGCAGGTAGTGCGTCAGAGTAAATGGCGTAAAGTCGAAAACTTTCAGCACTAGCACAGGTCTCCGCCTAGGCTGTGTTTTGTCACATCTCCTGTTTGCGTTGTACATGGACAGATTAGTCGAGTGCGGCCCGTGTATCGGCGTATGGGGTGCCAAGAAGAGAAGGTAGCTGTTTCCAGAGATCCTGTTTTATTGCCAACTTCTGACACTGATCTCTGGAATAGGTAGCAGCTGGGTTCAACGTGTTGTGTGTGAACACATTTAAAATGAAAACCTTAGCGCTTTCTAGTACTCCTGCCTGTTGTTCTTTCCAGATAAACGATAATGCAGTGGAGCAGGGTGGAGTTCAATACCTCAGAGTAGTGCCTACTGGTGATGGAAAATTTGAGAAAGAGATCGACCGGAGAATTGGAGTAATCAGTGGTGTTCTGAACCTGCTCATTGCCCTCTGCCAGCCGGGGGCGTGGCAGCACAACGACGGCTGACGAAGACCGACGCA